TAAATCTTTAAAAAAAAATCAATCTATTAAAGTTAGGATAGGTCCATAAATTCATAAAATTTAAGGCTAACATTATTATATTTACTACAGTGTTGATTGGCAAAAATAAAGCCCCTTTAAACCTTAAATGCTACTTAATGATCTTCATTCTCATTGAGACTTCTTAGAGGGTAGAGTAAAGTCGAGGACTAGGGTGGAGGCTGGGCTGGAGATGTGAAGGGGGATGAGGTGAGGTTGCAGCCAAGGAGAAGTTGTGAAAGAGGGTAAAGTAAGGTCGAAGACTAGGCTGGAGGAGTTTTGTGGGAGATAAATCGCTCAGGGAGATAGTAAGATTCCTCATTGAAAGACTGAGCAATAAAAGCTTAAGTAAGAGAGTAGAGTGATAAGATTTGGGTTCTGGTCCAGGCAGTAAAAGAACTTTATTTTTTAGCATGTTCTAGTACTGCCTTTTCTTACAATGTTGATTTTGTTATAATTGTTTTTATTAATCAGCCAATTGTAATATTATTTTTTGCTTTCCAGAGGAATTTCCTGTCTTGGGCAGTGCTTGCTCACCTAAGCCAGGTAGTGCCTTATGAGGCTAAGGCAATTTGGTTGTAAGCTGATGGTTGCTTAGAATATTTTGATATTACAAAAAAGGGAGATTATAACATAAGTTAGTGTGGAAATTCTGATTTTTCAAAGCACTTCCGTCTCTATCTGGAATGTCTGTCGATAGAGGTTGCATAGCTTGTGTCAACTCAATAAATATTTGTCGAGTGAGGCTTAAGTTTCCTAATCTGTAAAATATGGATAATACTTACAAAAGTGGTTGAGTGGTTAGAAAAAAAAAAAAATATATATATATATATTTCAGGAGTCTTGCACTGAGATTATCACTTAGCTAGGTATAATGATGCTGTTGTCCTCTGTAAAATTTTGAGATCCCAGCAATCCTACTTCTAGGTATCTACCCAAAAGACACAAAAACACTGATTCAAAAAAGATACCTGCACCCCCATGTTTATTGCTGCGTTGTTGACAATTGAAAAGACATGGAAACAGCCCAAATGCCCAAAAGTGGATGACTGGATTAAAATACACACAATGGAATATTACTCAGCAACCAAAAAAAAAATAAACACATGCCTTTTACAGCAACATGGATGGAGCTGGAAAAGATCATGCTTAGTAAAATAAGCCAGAAAGAAAAGGAAAACTACCAGATGGTTTCACTCATAGCAGGAGTATGAGGGACCAAGCAAGAAAATAATAATAATAATAATGATGAGCCATATACCAGAGACATTTTATGGGGGTGGACTGGGGAATGGGATCAAAAACAGTGAGGGGAGGGAAATCCACTAGACTATGGTGATGGCACATGAATGATTTGGTAATGGGAAGCCCAAGGGGATTACAACTGAGATGGGAAAAAATGCACAAAATGATGTAAAAATAAACTATTATTTTTAAAAAAAAATTTTGAGATCCATTCCTGACATACCTACATGGGGTGCCATCTAAGGTGAGCAGCTTGGTCTGTGGCTTTCTCAGATCTGAAACAGGTTTGAAAATTTTGGGTGGGGAGGGGCAATGTGACAGGTCCAGCAGTTAAATTCTCACCTGAACCACTGAGAAACCTTCCTGAGAATAATTCATCTTGGGGAAGAGTTCTTCTCCAGGGGAAAAAAAATTCAATATTCAAGTATTTGATCCAAGATTAGACTGTCTTTCGGCCCAGGGAGAAGGCTTGAACCAAGTCCACATACCAAGAGAGCTATCTGTGTCTGTTTGACCCCTGAGCCTGGGCTCACACTGCTCTTTCCCAGGGAAAGTGGTGTGTGTACAGCGGAGCACAATTTAACATTCACTAGATGCCAACCTGAGACTGGCTGCAGCAGAACAGCCAGCATCTGGATGGGACAAGCGGGTGGATGTTACCTGGTGGGTTCTTGGCTTCCGAAACTGATTTGAAATCAAGCCACAGAGCAGTTGAAATAAATAGATAAATGGTAGCAGAACAGAATCTATTCCAAGCATATGTGATCTTAGTCACTGGGACAGATGTAGATTGCTAGAATTTCTACAAGAAAGTGGGAGCAGACAGAGAAATGTATTGTGATCCCTCTTTTAGTCAGAAATTGGTGAAGCAATCAATGGAGAAATGGTTTAAATAAATGACAATAGCGATAATGCCTTCTTACTACTCTATCTACAACCCTCTTCAAATCCTGGTTTGTTAAGAAAAATATGTTCTTTCTTTTTTTAAAAAAAATATTTTATTTATTTATGCATACAGAATTGGAGTACAGGCCAGAGGTGCAGGGACAGTGAGAGGATTCACCAGAGAGTGTGGGGAGCAGAACAGGCAGACTGATGAAGTACACTGCTGAGGGGAGCAGCGGGTGAGACAGGAGAGGTCTGCCACGCCATGTGGTCACCTCCAGGGCAGGGTATATTAGTGCTCACACTGAAGCTGCTGCGGCCAGCTTGCAGTGCTGTGCCCTAATTTGTTGTGCCACAGGGAGGGCCTGTTCCTCTTTCTTAAATATGACATAGATCTTTCAAAGACAGAATTCGTACTTTATTATTCCCCTAAATTGCTCTACAAGCTTTGTAACTCTTCTGCTGTTTAATGCTCTCAATGGTTTATATCACCACCAAAACCTGGGCGTCCTTCATCACCCTAAACCTGTCCCTTTTCACCTCCAAAGTCAGGAAGGAGTCCTTAGATTTGAGACCTAAGATGAAGGCACCTGGTAATTTGGGTTTGACCATTGTGTCTGTGTAGGGACATTGCTTCTGGCCATGCAGGCCCAGGCACCACTGCAGTAGGACTGCAAGTTTGTTTCTAGACATTGTTCCTTTATCCAGGTTCCCTGATGATAAAATCTTATTTAACCACAACTAAGGAACTAGCATTACTATTCATGACAGCTAAGGAAACAGCATTAACCACACTCCACAGTTTATTAGGACTTCATTATCTGCCTAAAGTTTCTTTTCTGGTCTCCAGAACCCTATCAGGAACACAGACTTTCCTTGTTTTCAAACTTTCCTTGCTATAGATGACTTGGGTATTTGTTTTGAGGACTGCTAGTCAGGTTATTCGTAGAATGTTCTGAATGGCAATGTGTCATATGTTCCTCTCATAAATAAGGTTATGGGTTCTGGGAGGAAGACAACAGTGGTAAAATGCCGCGCCAGCAGGACAGCTGAGATGGTCTGAGCGAAGGACGTCAGGATTAAAACACACACTTCTTGGTCAGCAAGCAAAGGCACACTTTATTTTTCTCTCCTTCCCTATTTATACCCTTCAGCATGGAGCCTGGGGCTGGGGGTAGGTGGAAGCTCTCAGCAAGTGCATCAATAACATGCTACAACAGCATGGGGGTCAAAGAACACAAGGTAGCAAACACAAGGCAGGAACACTTCCTGCCTCCTGTTTTTCTGTTCCAGCACCCATGGCTCATTCTTTGTTTCCACACAACAGTGTGCATATGATTTTGTGGGGGAGGTGGGGAGGTCTGTCCAGGCAAAGGACCCAACAGTAAAATACCCTTCTCATCCCAGCCTATCAATGGAAATTTATAAACATGACTTTCTACGGCTGTTGTTAACGTTGGTCATTGGCTGAGGTGATGTTTCTCAAGTTTTTCTGCTGCATAGTTAATTTTTTTTAACATATTTATTTATTTAGGCATAGAAGAATTGTAATGATAAAGCAATGAGACTTAATGCCTTAATGGCCTCCAAGGAGGCCATGCTGCATAGTTATTCCTGTGAGTTCTTTTGATGTACTAACCATTGAAAGCATACCCCACATTCCAAGATGGTGGAGTCAAGCTCTGTTTCCTTAGGGAGTGGATTACATAAATTGAATTCATCCTTGTAAGATATGTCTTTGTCTTTTCTTCCCCATTTAATTTTTTTTCAAAAAGTTATACTTTATTTAATATTTAGAAGATTAACATAGAGCTACAAGCTCAATATAAGCCTTCCAGTGGAAGCATTTCATTTGGTTTATTTACATCTCCAGAGATAAATGGGCAGTTGCAGAATCTTTACAGTGGCAACAATCTTTACAACCCTAAATACCTCCAAAGTTCAGAATATGCAATATATACAAACTAAAGAGCTTTAAGGTGCCCAATAGCAGGTTAAAACAGAATTTTGAAATGTTTTAAAAGATTTATGTATTTATACATACAGAACTGGGGTACAGGTTAGAGGTGCAGGGGCAGTGAGAGTATTCACCAGAGACAGAGTGGGAAGCAGAACGGGCAGGTCTACAAAGTACACTGCTGAGGGGAGCAGTGGGCAGGTCAGGAGAAGTCTGCCACGCCATGTGGGTCACCTCTGGGGCTAGGGATCGAACTCATGCTGATGTGGTTTTAGCTTCTTAGTGTGCTTTAACTTGCTGCACCACCAGGGAGGGCCCAATTTTGAATTTTTTTCAATGGTAATTAGTGGTATTTTTTTTTAAGATTTATTTATTTATGCATACAAAACTGGGGTACAGGTAGTGCAAGGATTCACCCGAGACAGAGTGGGGAGCAGAACAGGCAAATTCACAAAGTACATTGCTGAGGGGAGCAGTGGGCCGGCCAGGAGAGGTCTGTCGCACCATATGGAATCACCTCTGGAGCTGGGGATCAAACTTGCACTGCTTGCCTTCCAGTGGTGCGTACCCGTTGCACCAATAGGGAGGGCCCAATTTTGAATTATTTTTAAATAATATATATTTTTAATTATTTTAAATTATTTTTTGATGATGCATGCACAAGAGGCAGAACCATTGGGAAGTATTAAACCAAAATTTCTGGGAAAAGTATGTATCAACATAACTTTCTATTCAATCATTTTTATATCAGTCTGGACTCTTGGGTCTATGCATTATACTTTTGTTATAGTCTAATGCTATAGTATTTGTTGCTCAATTTCTTCCAGCTTTGACCACCAGGAGTTCTTTTAGGTTGGTGCCTATGAATTTTTGTGTTTTGGGAAGATGCTCCTGGCCCATTTTACATTTTTCCTTCCCCAGAACCAGAATCAGATGTTTCTCCATAGAACTGTTTCCTTTTATAATAGTATTTGAAAACCAAGATTGGGTGCTGGATATGCTTGCAATCTAGTTCTTTTCGTTCTCTTATTTATCTTCATCTGTACCCTTTCTATAGGATGTTTATTGTTAGCTGCTGCCATAGAAACATATTCAAGTGTTTCCCCATTAATCCCTTTTTATCCATGTCCTCCATGGGCAAGTTTCCTAGCTCTTTCATTTCCATTTAAGCTTTTAGCATGGCCCATTTTATATGAATTTGAAAGCACTAGATAAGAAATTAATAAAGTCTTAAATTGTACAGAATGCTAATATTAATAATTGTCAGGAAAAGCACAATTTCAAATCTTAAGGACTGAAGTCCTTGCATAAAATGTATCCTTTGTTCCTCACACATGGGTTACTCAACCCACTGCAGTCTGCCTGTACTACTTAACTAATTGTTCTTGCCAAGTTCACCAGTGGCCTGATGGATAAATACTATAAACATTTTTCTGTCTCATTCTGGTATTTTCTGATAATGACCACTGCTAATCTTAAAATGTTTTCCTTCCTTAACTTTGGTGTCAATTTTGCTTTCCTGCCAACATTTATGGCTGTTTCTTTCATGGCCTTTTTTCCTCCGCCATCCTTTAAATGTTGATGTTCCTGAAGGAGGAAATGCTCTTCTCATTCTACATTCTTCTTCATTGAACTCACCTAAATCCATGCATTCAAATACCACTTGATGAGTTTTCTCTATCAGCAGTCATACTTCTCTCCTGAGCCATCTAATGCCATCAGGACAAGTTTACATTGATAGCCTATCTATAAGTGTTAGGTATTTTAAAACAGTATAGTTGATCTTCCCAGTGTTTTAAAATACAGATTATTATTATTTTAATAATATAGTAATAGTTTATTTTTACATCATTTTGTGCCTTTTTCCATCTCAGTTGTAATCCCCTTGGGCTTCCCATCACCATATCACCCGGGTGCCATCACCATAGTCCCGTAAACTTCCCCCCCACCCCATCGTTTTTGATCCCACTCCCCATTCCATCCCCGTAAAATGTCTCTGGTATATAGCTGCTCATTATTATTATTTCCTTGCCTGGTCCTTTATACTCCTGCTATGAGTGAAACCATATGGTATTTTTTCCTTTTCTTTCTGGCTTATTTCACTAAACATTTTCCAGCTCCATGTTGCTGCAAAAGGCGTGTGTTTATTTTTTTTTGGTTGTTGAGTAATATTCCATTGTGTATATATACCACATCTTTTTAATCCAGTCATCTACTTTTGGGCATTTGGGCTGTTTCCATGTCTTTCCAATTGTAAATACAGATTATTTTAATTGGGCTAATATTAATTTTCATCAGGAAGTTTTGTTAAGCAACTTCATTAAGGCAGTTTAATTCTTTGATAAATTTCCTATGCAATGCAGTTCCATTTTATTGTAACTGTTTTCATTAGGACTAGATTTTTTCTATAAACATTTTATCATGGAGATGTTAATTTTTGGTTCATTACAAGTATTATCAATGGTATTTTCTGTTATTGAGTTCTGTGTGGCCACTAAAACTACCAAATACAAGCTCCCAACCAGAGCTAGCTTAAATTTTATCAAGATTTTATTATTCTCTCACTTTTAATCACATGCTTTTTTTTGCAGTGTTGAACTGAATTTTTCTACTAGTCATATTCATAAACTTAATGTTGAGTAATTTATTAAAACAAATGGATCAATTCCCTTTATATAACCTCAAGCTTCTCTATGGAATAAAAAAGTATATTCTTAAGAGTAAAAAGGTCTTGCTCAAAAATGAGACCTGGTGGAAAACTCATCATATCTGAACTTTGGGAATTCCAAATCTACTGATGGTCTTGGTCCCACAACCTCATTACTAGAAACTGGGCTGACTTCTGAAGGGCGTCTCCTTCTGGGACCCTGGGCTAAGCTTACACAGAAACAGGTTGAAGAATTACTTGTTCTCCTTCCATATAGGAGAATATAGATGAATCAGATTTTATATCCTCAGAAAAAGTAGGCAATTTAGGTTTTTCTTCTGCATGCTATACAGAATTCTTTTGATTCCTAGATTATCTTTGAACATCACTGATGTTACCTCAGCACATTAGCACTTCTCCGAGTCATGGATGTCAATATCATTAAAGTTCAAGTAACTATTTGTTATGTCCTCAAATTTGGAAATAGGCAGGCAGGTACTCACTTTAAGTATGGGTTAAATAATTCTAAAATACAATTTTCCCCCAAGACTTATGTAAATATGTAGTTTATGTAAATATGGATTCTTTCAGGGATTAAAGAAAAAAAGACTGCATATTGATGCAGATACACAGGAGGGTAACAGACATATTAGAAGTTCACAGGAAATTTTCCATAGGGAGCTTTGTGTTGGATTTCTGCACCACCACCCCCGCCCTCCCAGCTCAGCCTTAAGCCCCATTATCTTGTTTTATTTTATTTGTATCTCCACATAAAACCTGGAAACCAACTAACCAAAAGTTGTTTTTTGAAATTTGAAGATGTAAAACTAGGCTTGGAAATAAGTGAAAAGTGCTTATAGAGTCTTTTAATCTTAGGAAATTTGACTTTAGAAATAATACAAAGTACAAGTCATTGATTTTAATTAGGTCATTTTAATAAAGTATATAGGAGTTTATAACTCAAACAAGTATTCATAAAAACTATCAGATACATAAGATAGCTCACACAGAGTGCAATAACAATAAATCCAATAGTCTGCAAATAAGAGGTATAGCAAAAACTGTTAAGATTGACTTTGTCTTTCTCCCTTCCTTTCCACTTCATAGCCCTTGATGTTGCATGCACATATTGCTGCTAAGATCTGATGACCTCAATACTCCTTATAGCTGGATTGACCTCAATCAGTCAACTCAAAATACAGTCAGCAGAGGGAGTTCACCTCTTCTTCATAGCATGAGCATGGTCTTGGCCTTTATTGTAGAGGTTTCTAATCCCCTACAAGTGATGTTAACATTTCCTCTTTCAAGGTAACATCTTGCAGGCCTTGTAGTATTCTAGTCACTACTGTTCTCTCAATACCACAGGAGTCAAGGGTTCAGGACAAGCCCTACTGAGTTTCATTCTTGTGGCTAAGAAGAAACATGCTGACTGGAAATGAGACTAAGGCAATAGCTGCTTTTTCCCACCTTTAATTAGAATAATAGTTCTCAGACTTGGTGGTGAAGGGAACTGAATTCACCCATGCCAAATATCTACTGTCACCTCTTGGTATTCTTTGGATGTCCTTGTAAGGTCTTAACACCACGGTAAAAAGCATAACAGCACACACACACTTTTCATCCAGTCCTCAATATGAGTCTTTGGTAGACTCAGAGAACACACACACACACACACACACACACACACACACACACTTTTCATCCAATCCTCTAATAGGAGTAATAGGAGTCTTTGGTAGACTCAGAGAACACTTGCATTTTTTAGAGTGAATGGGGTACACTGTTCTCACTCCCAAAGCCTCACTTTGACATTGGTAAAAACATTTTCTGTAATTCCTTGCCAAAAGAAATCAAGCAGATCCTTTTAACCTGTATACATGATACTATTAGAGTGTAATGCAGATAACACTGAATTTCAAGAGCAAAACATGTTACTATAAACTTTTAACAGTGTCACACACATTGAAATTGCTGGAAAGTGGCTCAGACTAAAATCTTAGGGAATCACAAATAATGGAATACTGGACTAAGCCACCAGTGTGTTTGTTAACATTTAGACATGTTCAAGCTATCCCACACTCCCTTCATACAACAAACTTGCTTCTGCATTCTAAGGCACTCTGGGCCTTTGTTAGATCAAGGTGGAGAGAAATCTTTGGGCTCTGTCTCCATAAAATAAGGTTAGGCTTCTGCCAACCTTCCTTCATCCTTTAAAAGAAGTATGTGAACCATTTCATTTTTTATTTGAAACTATTCTAGTGTGATGAGATTACCACAGGCTAGGTTGAAATGTAAGAAACTGTTTACAGAACAAGGAAGAAAAGTAAAAATTAACACGGTCAATCCTCTCTCTTTCATCATTCATTTATTGGTGTGGTGATAACAGGGGAATGTCAAGTGAGGAAATGAGTAGGGGATAAAGGAACAGGGAAGTGAACCAGAAAGACTTATGGGGTAGAATAAAAATAGGTAAGGACATTCTGTGTGTTCTGACAGGATCTTGGACACTATGTGTGGGAGATTTGTTTCCTAATAAAGGTCTAGGTGCAAAAGAGGCAGGTAGAACCAGAAGCCAGAGAGCAATGTGCCATCCTGGAAATCAAGACACTATAGACCCACATCTAAGCAGAGGCAGCAGCTTTTTCAGTAACCGAGTAAATTTGTTTTGCAGCAAAAGAACATAAAATTCCCAACCAGAAACCGCTTATTTTCAACCATTTTGAAATCCTTCCTTATGTGAACTTCACAAGTCACACATTTACAAATGTTCTGGTGGTTAAAACAAAAACAACTATTAGTAGTAAAAACTAAAAAGTAAACAACTTCATTTAATTCTTCATGTTCCCTGTTTGACAGGACTGGACGATTAGAATTCAGGGTTGGCTCTGGCGATTATAAGGTATCCCTGCCTCTTTATAAACTGTGGTGTCTTTTTAGCAGCTCTCCTCTGTACCTTTCATCAAAATAATCTAGGTTCCAAATTTATCCATCTGTGTGACCAGCAGCCATCCCAAAGTTGCTTGGTATGTGTTTTCCAACTTTAAGTCCTTATATGTAGCAGAGAATAGTGCCGTTCTTTATTAAAGGGACCAAAGTGGCTCCATTTTAAACTAGTATGAGCCAGATCCTACTCTTAATTTCCTAAAATAAAATTTCCTATTTTATAAACTGTATACATATTATTATGATATATTTTGATTGCTTTTCTATATGGAAGCAAATAAAACATGATTAAATTTTTATTGCCAAATCACTCTAGTTGACTATACTTATTTGAAATAAAACCAAAATCTACTACTTTATAACTTTTCAACCAAAGAGTTGAAAGCACTAATATATAGAATTTTTAAAATGTACTCAATAAATAATGGATCAGTAAGATTCTGGCATTTTTTTTTTAAGTTTAGAAATTTTGGTTATCAGATTAAACTCAGTCTTAACACGGGCATGTAAACACATACACACCCATTTATTTATATACACGGTATTTCAACTCACCAATGAGCGGGCCTAAAATGAAACCATTTATGACTAGATGCCCTGTGTCCTGCCCAGCATGTTTTTCCAAATCAAGTTTTGCTCATTCCATTTTCCAGTCTACTAAGGATTTAAAGCTAAAGAGCTGTAGGTGAGGCTAAGAACAGATACATTAAATACTTTTCACCACACATAAAATAACTTCATTCAATAGAGTCCTTAGTCAACTAACATGGATTCTTTAAGCATTTGTCAGTGCATGTTGTGGTTCAATGCCTTTTGATTACATATATCCTAGTTCACTGTGATTCACTGAAATGAAAGGTCACAGTTCCTGCATCCCTATCAGATGTATAAAACATGTTAATATGGAGTTAACAAATTAAAACAAGCATGCAGACCACTTGTGTTGATAAAACAAGTGATGAGTTACTTTGTTGACTATATATTTTCTTTTTAGTGTTAACCTGTTGAAATATAGTTGTTGGAAACCGTAACTTGCTACTAATTCAAAAGATCCTGAGCATTCCTGAGTCCCTTGAAACTAAAGTTTCCAGATTTTTATATTCAGAATAGCTTCTGGCAGTAACACTGTATCTTTAAATGATGCAGTTTATTTAATGATTTTTTTTCACTATGTGATCCAAACATGGGAACAGAACTCACTAGTTATTAGCTAATGATTAATGTAATCCAATAGTAAAAAACAAAAACAAAAAAACATGTATTACTCATGAAAAACAACATTACAAGTAATTTTCATGTGTTTCTATTAATTTCTCATTCAAATGTACTGGGAGTCTCCACCCATCATGGGTCTCCAGTGAGAATGAGAAATGACTGACTATGAAGTAAAATCATTATGAACTTATTGATTTTATCATGAAAAATAAAATAGCTACTTAAAGAGGGGATGTACTTATAACTGAAGTAAAGACATTCTGCAGGGTTGTTATAGAGTCAATCCAGATTAGGAAAGGTGATGAGAATCACTTTTTAAAATATATTTCTGATCTGGGATGAGAACTGAATATCCCTATCCTCTTAGCTCCTGCCTTTGAGTACTTTGTTAACTACCAAGGGATGAGTTTGGGAAGCAAAGTTCCATATGCAGTAGCCCAAACTCCTCATTCAAGTTGAAAGATGATTTTTTCCATCCATTGTTACACAGCAAACCCAGAAAAGACAACTGGGGGGAAGCAAACTCTTAATACAATTTAACATCTACTAAAATAAAAGACACTGGTTTCTGACATAGTTGAAACATCAGTGGAAAGCCATTGATGAGGAACCTGATCCAGTGCTAACTAGTCACATTTACCTTTTAACCTGGACATTTGAAATACATGCAGGCTAGACTAGAAAATGTCTCAAAAAGCAACTATTTACATCTTTCTGCAAAGATCTCCAAACTTCCAATTTGAAGACTACCACACCTAATCAATTGCATTAGTTTGGCATTCATGCTTGATTCCTGGATTAATTCCCAACAAGTATTTAATCATTCATTTGGTTTGGTAAGCAACTCTCCCAACTTTTCCAGCTAATAAAAATCACGGACATTTGCTACAAGTCAGAGAAAGCTTGAAACACAATACAACAGCTTTTCCCATGAAGCTCAACTTCCTTAGCAGACATCTTCCCATTGAGACATTTCAGTTTAAGGCACTGGTAAGGAAGGGCATGAAAAAAGCTAGGAGTGAGCTATCTCCAGAAATAGGAGATATTAAAATACACAAGTCAGTCACCTATCTGGCCTACTGCATATCTAAAATAGGGTAGAGGATTGAGAGGTTTTCATGGCTAGTGGATTCCCATTCTCCCAAATTTATTTACATGTCTCAGATTTATATTGCTTTAAGAGGCAGTAGAGAAAGATGGCAAGGACCTGGAAACAAACAAATCTATTTTGTGATGAATAACATGATTAATTAATTCTGTAGTGGCAGCGAGAATGCTCAGTCCTAAGGTTTTTGAGTATTTTTAAAAATTACCAAGGCTGTATATTTAGTGGTTGGGACAGTAACAAGATGTTCTTTTTTACTGTTCTAAGGGGAAAAATGTAAAAGGACAATTTTTCATGACTAGATACATGGAATTTATTAATAGCAAACAGAAGATTCTGGAGGGAAAATATTCACTCTGAATCCCCAGTTCCAGCAGGATTTTCCTACACTTTCCAATGACTTCAATTTTGGACAAGAAAAAAACTTAATAAAGAAAGGATTCAAGTCAGCTAGGTCAGGAGGCAAATGCCAGTAAATAAGTGATCATGGAGGTAGGCATGGTGGCACAGGATTTATCTAAAGGTAAAAGGCTCCCTGTATACCCAAGCATGCGTGTACGTACACGTACACACACACGTACACACACACATGTACACACACACACACACACACACACACACACACACACACCCCTGTGCATTCAGACAGATTTCAAAAGCATGGATACGGGGAAGTCTCAACATTATTAGACATGAGCAAATCTCTCATCTGTTTGCATTTCTATGTAGGAAAGAGTCTGACACACACACCTAAAGACACTCATGCACAAGGACCAGCCTGGCTCGCAGAGATACAGGAACAGAACAGAGAATCCTAGAGCTGCTGGTTTTACAGGAATGATTCGTATCTGCAGGTTGACATCTCCTCTTGATGTGCAGGAATTTAATTTTACACTTCTTTCCAGAAATATCCCTTCCCCACCCCCCCTAGAGTATTAAGTCAACTCCTGAAGGACTGTTTCATTTCTCACTGGACATGACACAAAACAGGAACTATAAGAAAAGTAGCAATAAAATGGTAACTTTGGAGTTGGGATGAAATATTCTGGTATTTAAACAGTTTCTGGGGAAAATAAAGGGATCTGGGTTGAGGTGGAGAAGGAAATGACTGAAGGTCCAGAAATCAAAATAAAAGAAGTGAGCATAACTTAAAAAGGTTTCAACTGAGCTTGTAGATGGAGGTTCTGCTCTGACCCATGGAACTAAAATAACATTTTTTTTTTTCTTTTTCTGAGGAAGGCTCAACTGGGAATGGTATGGTGTGTATTACAGTGGGTTAGAGAAAGAGGCCTAAGGCTCAGGTATTGCTCCTAAGGTTTCTGCTTGCCTGATTTTGAAGGAAAGGGTGCTGAAGCAAAAGGATCAGCAGCTGGCAACTCTGTAGTCCTGGAGGAAAGGGATGTGACGGAAACAGAGCCAGCTATAGACTGCTTGTTGGTTTGTGAAACAATTTTGTAGGCAGCAATGGGCTGGGCTTCTGGACTTGGCTCATCTTCTGGGCTATAGTGACGGGAATATTTGGACAAAGACTGGGGGCGGAATGGTTTGCCAGCCATAGGGCCTGACACAGCTTCTTTCTGGGACTGAGGTCCTTTGTTTCTGTCATTCGAGTGGCCTCCAGATTCCAAAGAGGAGCCCCTAGGAGAGATGCTATCAAGAGGGTCTGCTGCTTGTACAGACTGGGAGAGGAGGTTAGATTGTTGGACAAAACCAGGCAGGGAACACTGAGCTCGGACAGAGGTATATATGGCTCTATCAATGCCTGAAAGCAGAGGGATATCATCTGTCTGACTGAAAAGACTGGCCTGTGCAGGTGACTCCTGGGAGGAGCTCTGGGCAACTGTTAACTCCTCCATGCTTTTCTTCTTCGTAAAGGGAGCTCTCAAGAATACATCCGCCTCTTCTGGCTGCGAAGGAGCCACACTGCCCTTGGAGACAAAAGGAGCGTTGGAGAAAATGTCCATGTCATTAGCTGGAATTCTTGAGCTCCTGAAAGGGGCTGTGGCGAAAACATCTGGCTCACCAAGACCAGAAGTGGTTGATTGCGTGAGGTCTTGGAACTGATTCTTTCTTCCACCTTGTACTACCTTTGCTTGGTCAGAAGAGACTTCTGACTGAGAGAATGGAGTGGCTCCTCCCAGCTTCCCCTGGGGAGGCTTGCAGCTCTCATCCTCTTCTTCAGACTCCATTAGGAGCGGTCGAGACCCGCTGCTGTCGAGCATGTCCCCTTCAAGGTCAGTACCTTCCTCTTCACTACTGTGGAAGGAGCTGTTGCTTGAAGGGCCATCTCTGGCTAAATAGTCAGATTCTAAACTGTTCTGAGTTTTCGTGCCAGGCACTCTGGATGGGTCTGGATACAGGGCAAGGCCTTTAATGCCTGTTGATTCTTTAAAGTGCTCTACAGTTATTACAGGACAGGGATTGGGCTCTTTCTGGAGACCTAGAAAAGCACAAAATACAGAATTAATGGATAGGTCAGTTCAGCTCTTTGAACATTTAATGGTCAGCCCGCAGCAGAAACATTGTGGGATCAAATGATAGATGTTGAAAATGGAAAAGGAAAAAACAGAAAAAATAAAAGTCAGGCAAAGAAACTACACACAAACTGGAACACAACCAATCACTGTCTCACATTTTGGAACATGATAGGCACAATATGCAGGAAAGGAAATGAAAATGTTAGGCACACGGACATTCAGCATTAACTACGCGATGCTCCTACTCGCGGGGCCAGGCACTGACACCTGCTCTACCTGGCACTGGCTCATGATGGAATGAAAACAAACCCAGTCACTCATCTCCACATATACCATGACAGTTCTGGATTATGCAGATATACTGTCTGGGAACAAATTCAATTCAGTATCCCACATGTAGACATCTGTTCCACATTGCCTGTATCTGAGGACAGACCTGCCCCCACCCCCATCCAAAAAGGAGCAGAACATCACTGCTTGATAAATGCAAGTTTACTTGATTTAGATCAGAAGCACTGCTCAAAAGAGCACAAGAGTGCCCCAAATACAAATACTGAAGGCACTTTCTAAGGGAAGGAGATATCAAAATTAGTAGATAAATCACCTTCAGCTGGAGTTGTCCTGGAATTTTGTTTTCAGTCTTCTAAGTTAGCAAAAGAACTCTTCTGCTTAAATGAAACCACCATAAGGTTCTTTAAGCAGAAGGAGTAAAAGGCATGGGTAATTACAGGAGTACTTGCAAACTCTAATATACAAAATTATTTCTATCTAGGTAGAGGGGCCTCAGGGTGCTCTGGCTTTTAAAATCAAATAGACAATTATCAGAATGCAAGAGAGCTTACCTTCCAAGAAATATTAGCAGGTTAGAAGTATGTCATTGGGCACATGTTAGCAAGAGGGCAGGAAAAAGGCATATGTAACTAAGCAAGAAGAATCCAGAGACAGGGTGGTTGGGGGGTAAAGATATCATTTCAACATGGGTTTCCCAACCCACCAATTTCAGAACATTAGGTATGAAGATTTGATTCTGTAGATGACTCAGAACCTCTGTACAATGGTAGTTCAATAAACCCCTCCCCAAATTAGCCTCACCCCTCCTGTGCAAACCATTAGCTAGTAGAAACTTCTACTAAAAATTACCCCCTGCTAAATTTTCTACTTGAATGAAAGCACACAGGACACAGCAAAAGTGGCATCAAAATCAGTTTATTGGGAAACCAGTCACTTAGAGACATTACAATGTAAAGAGATGTAGAGAGAGATCTGAACATTTCAGAAGATACTATACAAAAATACTATGTTTCTCTTAATCCTGTAACGTTTTAGCAGTGCTTCTTTTTAAACGGTTGCTTCTTTTTAAACGGTTCTGACCTTAAATATTTGTTTTTAAAAACAAAAACCATGTTCCCCTCCCTCCATTTTTTATTTCCTTTACTAGCAGTCTGAACACATTTGGTGAAATCCATTAGAGTCTAAGTTAATTTTTGTATTGGTGCCCAAAGGTCTTCTGAACAGAATTTGAAGAATATGACTTTTGAGGGAGTTACATTTTCCTTGCATTACAACTTTAGTATGTGTACCTATGGAGAGACTGAAGCATTAGCTAGCTGAGAGGAAATAAATAACACTCTCTCCCTTGCAATATATATGGAAAAGTATATCTAATCTTCCAGGCAGGTATACTGATATTAGATCTATCACAGTGATTCCCAGATGATAGAAATCAAGGAGGAAATTCAAATGAAAAAGGGCAAAGAAGCGTTCCAAAGTATGACTTGCCAAGCAAAGTGGTACAAAAGACCCTCAAGCTCCCAAATCATTTTCTAACACAGTATTAGTTGGACAAGGTTTCACCTGCCAAAACTAAGGCAGGTTATTCTCCAAAACTATTCCAGAAGTTGATGCTATTACCTGGTTCCTTGGGAGAATAAAGGTATCCCTTAGGAAACAAACGGCAAATTTAGTCAAACCAAGGGTCAACTCTGACATCGTACAGATCAGTCCTGAAAATGAACACCAGTTTGACTGGAGTTGATGTTATCTGAGAAATTTAAATTGAATTTAGTCAAATCAATTCAAAGGCTGCCAAAAAGCAGCTACCTATAGAATCAGGGGCACTTTGGATGCGTGCAGTGTTAGATTACATTTTGAGAACTGTAAAGTAGCCAAGTAGGAGGGGTGCCCACATCCAGAGCTGGAAAGGATCGAAGAACATGCTTAACCCATTAAAATTACTTGTTAAATAAGTGGGATCCCGCCAACTTAGAGCATAGACTGTGAGCTTCATAGTGAGTAATGGGAAATCATATTTAAAATTCCAACAACTTTTTAAAATTCACAAATACAGTCACAAAAATTCTATAACACCAAGTTTGAGGGGAAAACTAGTCTCCTGCCCTTTAAAATAAGGCCAGACCTATTTCAGATCTCTCTTTCTGCTTTGCAGGATTAGAAAAGTACATTTAAAGGATTCTCCAAGTCTCTCAACCTTTCCATTCTTTTTAGAGGAGATGCAGTGTGACCGAGGCAGAGAACAACCACCCTTTGCAACTCTCCAAGACTGGCACTCTGGACACCAAAGAAAAGCCGGTGGATGGGGAAGCGCAGACATCCACTTTCCCTCAGGGAATTTTGGTGGCGCGGCACAAGAAACAAAGTAGTCAAGAGAAGGAGAGATTCTAAATAACTGTAAACAGAAGATAGACATTAAATCTTGTTGGCAGTTAGAGGTCTTTTTGGGAATATGAATGTGTGTTTCTTGTAGGGAAAGTGTGTTTTCAGGGTGAACAGTTTTTGCACATGAAGAAAGCCTTGTACTGTCAGGAAAACATGTTTGAAGCATTCTGCCTAGGACCAAAGAAGTGTTTAAACTAATTTAACCGCATGCCATTAGCCCAATTCCTCTAGGAACCAACGGCATACACAGCAGATGCCTGTGACCACAGAGTTCAACAAACTAGCCAGTTGATCCTGAGTGGAGGGTAATGGTTAGGCTCAGGTCCTGGTCTCACAGTTTGCACAAGGGTCTTCCTTGTCATGAAACCTAAGGTAGGGCATTTTGTTCTCATTCCCTCAAACAGGGTCATGTCTTTTTACTTTTTTTGGTTTAGCACATTAAATTAAGCAAGAAGTCGAAACACACTAGCTCTAATATACACCATGTGCCAGCTTAAGATTAAGCACTCTTTCAACATGTCCACTAGGGATAACACTATTTGAGTCTATTTTGAGGCTTCAAATTATGTAGTAAGAGTTTATGTGTGTCAGGGAGTAGAAGTCCCAAGAAACATTTGGTGACTTGGCCAATATCCTTACTGCCTATTAATTTCCAAAGCAACCAAAAGTGTTGAATAATTTGGAATAGTTTCACCATGGAAATTTTATCTGATGGACATTATATCATCAGAGTATGTTCTTAAAAAAAAAAATCCAAAGATTTAAATTTCAAGGTGGACATTCCTTAACGTAATATATCACGATCAACCAAATCTTGCTTTTCCCTACTCTATAAACTGAAACAGCATTTAGAAGGAGTATCAAAGACATGATTTCTATCAAAATGAAAATGAAGACTTAGAAAATGAAGACTGAGAAATCTCCTCATATAGTTAGCAAATAGAAATCTTATATGTGAACTTCAGAAATACCACACAAATTGAAATTAACACTCTTGGAGCCAATTAGGTAATCGAGAAATATACATCAAACTAACATTTTCTATGAGCTTCTGGCTCAGAGAATAAAATTATGCATTTGGTTCTACCAGATGTTATACAGTTTCTGTAAACCCATGCCTGGGGAATAAGTGGTTTGATGGATGCCAACACTGGCTAATGATTCTATGCTACGCAAGCCAATGGGATAATCAAATGAGAGAGATTTCTCCCTGGGCCTAAAACTCCTGTTGCCAACATAAAGTGTTTAATTAAATTGGCCTGGGTACATTAAAGATTAAATTAGAGGATAGTAGCTGTACATCTGAACTCTGTTTTACAGTCTTTCGTATGGTCATATCAAATGCAGACTCACGGGGGTTTTATTCTCTCTGATTGCCAGGCTAAGCCATGGTCACCATGACTCATTAAAATGTCCTCAACATGTTCTTTCACACATACCTGCACTTCCCTGGTGCACAGGTACTTACTGTCACTCAGCAATGTTTTTAAATTCTTTTTGCAAAAGTGGTTTTCAGTAACTTGAGTTATTTAAATTCTGAACATCATGCTCCTGTTTGAACAGACAACAGTCTTTATTCCCCTATATGTTTACATTAGAAATTTGTTTACAGACTTATGTTTTATACAGTGTTTATGTAGCAATCTTCAATTTTCACATTTTTACTGTATAAGATAGCTTCATATACCTCTCTGTCTTTTTGGTGAGTACAGGATACAGACTTGTATTAAATATATATTCATGAGGCCAGGGGTATACAATAGGGTAACGTAGAATATTCACAGGAAAAGAAAAAACTGAGGACATTACATCAAAGTGAGAACCAAGGGAGTGACTTTCATTTCATAGCAACTGCCATGATTTGGTAACCCGGTATAGGTGTGCATTACCCAAAAGACCTCCAGTGCCCATTTTAGTGAAAGGAAAGCCATGAGAAACAAAATAGTATCTGGTTACAGATGATCTTAATGGAGAAGGTCTGGGATTCTCATTCAAGAAACACAAGCATACCCAACTTCAGGAACATTACTATTGTGGGAAAAGAAAAGGCTAACTTTGTGTTGTAAAAGTTCTAGTCTCAGGAAATGAATACAGATAGCCTTGCAACTGCAGTCTAGGCTGTCAGTAAAGATACACTTTTAAATGTCCATATTACAGTCTGTTCTGTCTGTTGGCTTTTTAGTTACTTAATTCTGTATACTTTGAGTAATTCTGTCATTTTTACTCCCAAACTCCAAGTTTGTGGTTTCAGGATCAAGAAAATCTTACAGACGAAGATTTTCCTGGA